AGATTCGCCGATTAGTAGCACCTTCACCAAGATACTCATGGAACTTAGGCCTGACTGCGTCCATTGACTCACGGAGCACTTCAAATTCCAGTGCCATCTATTTCGGCTACCGAGAACGACCTTTGTCTACTAAAGTAAGGATACGCAACATAAAAAAACCATGACGAAGAATTATACAGCATGCTGAATCTGAGAAGATATGGATCCTATAATGGGCCGAACCCTTTCACACCCGCGTCATAAGGAGTTACCAAGTCGACAGAACAAGTGCATGGGCTTGCAGCGGCTACCCGAGCTTCCAGAATGGTTAGTTCATCAGTAATTATGTACTTCTCACCGTCTCTGCGCATAACGTGAACATTTCGCATTATTTCGGCAAAACTAATGTATTTCAGCATAACTGTGCATATCAGCCTTGAACAAAACCCGAGGCGTTTTGTGCCGGTGAATGCATTTCATTTTCGCAAGTTACTTCCTGAGGAAATTAAAAAGCTTAACGTCAACAACAAGAGAATGCACCATAAGGCCATGGGAAGTGCTGGGAGTCGCACTAATTAGCCGAATTCCTCGTAACTCTGTCATACAGCGGTAGAATGTCGGTGAAAAACGTGTTTGGGCTTCTAACTACTACCCTTTCTGCTCGCTCGTTGCGCACTTGATCGTGCGTCAGCGTCAGCGGTCTTCAAACCGCGTCAAACACTGCGACCAATTCCAGCACTTGCTGGTTTACAGATTCAGGCAGCCGACCGTGCATGGAAGAGAGAAGAGTAATCGACACTGGGGATTCCGTCCTCACAGCTCCTCAATGTATATCTCATTATAATAAAATTGGCCCGCTTGAATTTATAACGACGTGCCAAAACTCGTGACTTGAAAGCCAGCTAACTGAGGGGATAGCACGGTCTTGTTCAGAACTGATACACAGGCTGCAATGACTCCTTTTTAGCGTGGTCTTTTTGTATTCTCGCGTGTGAGATCTGGGTCGCACTCATGAGAATTTAGTACATGCTGTAAGGACCAGATCATCTGTGGCATGCGTAGATTAACTGTCTAAATTTGTCAATTACTGCGCCCTGATCCCGCCTCCTGTTTTCTTCAATTTATTTTGCCAGCGGGAGGAGGGGGAGGGAAGGGGAGTACGACAGATGCTGTGCAATTATACTATCAGTATAATTCACGCACAAATAACCGTCCAGCGCCGACTACATGGAGAACACGGTACTCGTCGTCATTCACGACGGTAGAACTGTCAGCTGTAGTACCAGTGCGAATTAGTTACCTTATTGTGTTATCACTTATTGCGCTGATATACTAATGCATCGGCTCCTCTGTTGCGGCTGAAGAGTGGTCCACAACCATATCACCTGTTTGTTGATAAACGCGCCAACATTCCCATGAAATATACATCTTCGTTGTGGATAATGACATTTAGAACCTCCTGCGGAATCCTGCTTACCAACGAGGCGATTTAGTAACCGAGAATCGATCGAAATAACCGTTCGGTGGGTGACTCCCCTAGTTCCTGTCAGCAGACCTCCAATGTCGGTCGTAGCAAAGCAGACCAGACGACCAGATCAGAGAACCTGCTCCAATTTAACTAGTCTGCCGTATGACGACAAGGAGAAGGACCCTAATCGGTCGCCAAATGGGCTTTTCATGGTGGCTAAGAATCAGTGGTATGTGCATCCAAAACAGCAGAATCCACCGCAGTATCGACGCGGCTAACACATCTTGCACACCAATCATTCCTCCCATCCCCAGCCCAATCAATTTCCCACCGACCAGCGCGCCCGCCACTATCAGCATCACAACGACGACAGACTGAACGCCCCCTGACCTATCTTGCCCATATTACCTACGCTCACCTCACGCATCAGCCTGATCGGTCGCTTACGAATCCATCGCACAAAAACTGACGAATCAGGGCTTGGAGAACCGACGTACACGAGGCGCCATCGCCTCAGTCTCCTGCAAAGTCATCGTCCCTGCTTTCACTCTGCTGTGGAGAACATGTAGGACATCGTCGGCAATGACGGTCGAGCTTTCAAGAAATGAGTTTAATGTTAGGGGGCGCCTACCGACCATTCATAAGGAACTCACTCGTTCCGTTGTGCCTTCCGGTCTCTTTCTTGAGCCCAACCAGCAGTCGCACAGCGGCGCGTGGTACAGGCGGTATGTTATTACCGGCAGAGACAAGGGAGACTGGAATGGCCATTTCTGGCTTATTAGCCGTCGTCAGCCAGCCATACCCAACCTCGAAGTGTGGAACACCCGAGGTTCGGACTCCCGACCTGTTAGTTAGAAGTTTACGACTCTAACCACTGGGCCACGAGCCCGTTGCCCTGCGTTTAATGTGTTTATAGTAATTCCACCAAATACTTAAAATATTTTAAAGGCAATAATTTCGATGGTATATTCAGGCTCCTGGAACAGATAAGGATCCCGTTTATTACTCCCAAGTGCGACACAACCTGTAATATTAAAACAAATGAAGGGCGGGGCTTACTGTCGTATCCGGTTCGAAAATCTCGCATTGCTCACTAACTGAATTAGCCCCTAGAGGCAGATAGCATCCCTGCTTTCGCCAACTGATTAAATTTGCGGAAGCCGCCTCAGGGTACTCGTAAGGCATTATACACGGAAATAATGCAAAGTAACATTTAGCCAATTGTATTTATACTGAAACCGAAGCTGAAAACTAGAGGAGGCTTTCACAAAGAAGAAGAGTAAGGGTGAAGTTAAGAGCGTACGCAGCTCCACCCTCGCACACATGGTTGATTCTGGGCACCGTGTGATTTACAGGGTCCCACCTAACCAGCCTTAGCGCCTGGGTCAGCGCCTATTAGCAACATCAGAGGCAACTGCCATCAGGCTACAGAGGCGGGTCCTGTGCGCGCAGAAGAGCCTCTTGCACGCTCCGCGTCTACCGTGGGCCAGGATCGATTAACTGTATGCAGATCTCCGCGTCCCCGCCCCCTCCCCCCTTGTGACACGGCTCAACCTAACCCCCACTGCCACTGCCTGCCTCCTTTCCCCCCCACTCCCCCCACTCTATTCGCATATCCCGTTTGCATTGAGACAACCGTAATCGATTGCACTTATCACTCACGTTCAGTTTGCACCTCTTCCCAGATGAATGTACAGGCCGGATGAGAATGTATCGAAAGCACGCGTAAGCTCGCCAAATACTCTTCTGAATGTATCAAATACATCAAAAAGCTGCAGCCTTTTTTAGAACTAGCTTTGGGAAACTGTTTTATCTACATTTCGTTTTTTTACAAATACCTTGGAGTTCATCAAAAAAGCTTTGGTTTGTAAAGTAAGGACAGGAAGTTCCTTTTAACCATAAAATTCAAATGTTCGCAGACAAGGTTCTAGGGTTTTATGAAGCGCTAAGGTGTCGAAATTGTGAAGGTACTAAGACATGTCTACAGAGGGAGTCGAGCTGACGTCAACGTTTGCTGTATCCCTTATCGTATTAAAAAAAGACAAACGGTATAAATATGAAAAACTCGATATATGTGCAGATTTGTTTTCAGTTGCCTGTTTTAGTAGCCGCTGGCCGTGCCGATGAATTCGAAAAGGACATTTTGTAGTTCTTATAAGTTTTTAAATTTCATAGCATTCTGTTATTTCAGATTGAATCTCTCCTTTAAATATTGCATCTTTGTGTTTTTGAGAGATAAGTTACCGATAGAAATAAACTGAGACGTTGTTTTTTGGTAAGTTTATTAAGATCGTCTCAAGCATAGTGACACATGGAGTGGAGTTTCTAACGGTTGGTCGCGCACACTAAGCGGGTCGAGGTCTTATTGACTGTCTGAGCGATTTGAACGTTGTTGTTGCTTTCGGCGCAAAGCCGTCAGGCCTCATCAGTTCTGTTAGAATGAATCACTGGACATTGGCTGAAAAAGGTGAGGCAGGGGTAGGGGGTCAAAAACCGCGAGTGCAAATATCTTGTCTAATATGGTCACCTAAAAGTAACATTTTAACACGGGAAACCTAAAGCAAATGACGACTAATACTTGACTTTTCTGTTCACTTCGGCAGACCAAATCCGAAGGTTTGTGGGTTAAGATACGCAGGTCAGCAAATCACTTTCCAATTTCACCGAATGAAGTGGCTGGAAAGAGAAAAAATGTCTATATACACACCGTTTGGCTGCTCAAACCTTTTATGTTCTTCCAAATGAATGACGTATTGAAATGTGCAATATGCAGGTTTGCCTGAGGTGGAAAAGTCACTCGAAAAGATAGGCGTGGTTTACTTTGCGCAAGCCTTCGCAAGATATGTAAGGCCTATTTCCAAATTTTTTGTGGTGGCAGACGTTGAAATGAGAATTCCATCTCATGATAGCATATTTTGTCGGAAATGTATTTGTCCATGAAATTTAAATCTGGTCCCGGCTCGCTTTGATCACCAGTACATACCATAAATGGGACAAATTAATTTTTCCCTGAACATCTTCTATGGAATCCTTAAAAGACATTCCCGCCTACGACTACAACCTCCACCATTTGCATGCGAAGAAAATACCAGAGAACCTAATCAAAGCCTTGAATTTTTCTATGGCGATATGTACTTTGACTGGCGAATTATAAAAATTTTCTTATAAGTCGCTGAGGTTACATGCGAAACTGGGACAAAAAATCTCCGCGAAATTCGAAAGTGTAAGAAACGTAAGTATAAGAATCATATGACAGGAAAGAGTCAGGAGTCTGCCATCTCACAGAATGCAAATGTCTATGAACAATGAGCGTCTGATGCCAGTCGTACCTACATAAAAGTAGCCTCAGCAAAGTACTGATGAGATGTAAATAGGCCAACGGTCCAATACGTACGCATCAGATTTTTAAGCAAGCCTTTAACCGTTCTGACTCGAGGGCCAAGAAGGCGTTCAACTTAGGGCAATTGAAGTTGGTAGAAGAATTTGATGATACGTTTTGCAAAAAGTACGATCTCAACAGCTCTCGTGAATATCGATAATTTTTTTGAAGATTTTAGTCAGGATGGTGGTCGCTGAAGTGACGAAAACCAAGGGAGGAGCTTGATGATGACGGGGAGGGCGTATGGAACACGGAAGTATCTGGCGCATCCACGGTGCTCCAACGTTCTTTAAGTTTTCTACGAAGCCGGGCTCTCGTTAAGTTGTCCATTGCTGCAAAAGCCGAGTCTTGTCCGGATTCCTCCATGTTTTTAATTGCATTCAGATAGCTTTTAACGACATCGAATTGTTCGTCGCCACCGAATGTGATCGAAATGTGAATACCCCGAGGCCTGGTATTGGTTTCCTGGTCCTTCTTTGCCGAGAACTCGGTGTTGATTGCCCTATGAAGAACCTGCTTAGGCGCTAGTGCAATGTTCGCTTCGCTTGCACTTTCCTTTGTTTCGCGTTTCGGCATCTCGGCTCGAACGAGCGTATCATCTGTCTGGCAGGACGCTGAGACAGCAGTCGTCCTAAAGTGAAATGAGGATGAAAAGGCTGCACACTTTCTGTTTCTTAGAAATTTCAAAAACAGGAAGCTAGTTAAGTAAGTAGCTGCTTGGTCTGACCCAGGTTGAAGTCGGCTTCCTAACACTTATGATTTAAAAGCTGCAGTGATAGTATTTTCAGATTACATCGTGTCCTTCCAGGTGAACAAAAAATAAAGCCTTACTTGTACTGTACTGATATTCCTTCATCTTATTTAATGACTCATAAAGAGTCTTGTGAAAACCAGAGGATCTCGAAGGAAATGTCGATTAATGTTCGCTCAGGTAGTAGTTGTATGACCAGCATTGCTTAACAGAAGGTGATAACCGACCTAAGATAGGTCTCTGGATTCGGCAGTATCGATTTTAATCTGGCTCTATAGAGTATAAAGTTGTCTACAGGTGGTATCTTAGCGATCGTTAAGAAATCAATGAGAGGTAAACTTAATACCTGAACAACCAGAAATAAGTTGCATTTTAAACGAAAAATGGCAAAGTAGATTAAAATTGATGCTGCTTGATGAAAAGTCCTTGATTAGCGCTGATTCAATAAATGAACCATCACGTACGGATTTCATGGACAAATTCGTCTAAGACTGAGACTAACCCCTTTCGGTATTACCCACAGAAGAAGGGAGTTTCCCAACATTTGCACAGGTTAAAATTGGGGACAAGTTTGTCTTCGAAATGTTGAAGAAAAAGCATGTGTACGCAACTTCAGGACTCATCGCACATTCAACATTCTGTTTGTAAAAGTGACTTCAATACTAGCAAACGGGCTGTTAAACAACAAGCATCTTACAATGATGAAGAAAAACGTAGTTAATCACACAGATTGTGAGGAGGAACTTAGACTTGAGATTCTATAGCTGATTTTATGCGTCCTGGTATACGTTACCCTCCATTCAAACGCGGGAGCTGGCCGTAAAGGCAAGTTTATCCGGCTCGAACCGAGTCTGGGTCGATTTTCCTTTAGAAGTAGCTCCCTTCCAAGATGGGTTTTTATAAAGCGAATTCCCACTTTAGCCTCCCCGTTCACTTGTAGCTTTTTTGCGATTTGGGCCTATTTTACTTGCCATGCTGCTTTTTTTCTAGTCCTCGCTTATTGGAACTCAGAGTATATGCCCGTCTTTGCAATACGCTCGTATCTTTTTCAAATAAGTTTGAATTCATGTAAGTTGTGCAGCCAGTTGACCCAGGCGTGTCTGTGATGCTAGTGGCTGCAATCTACCACTAATATGCCGCGTTTGTGCTCCTTCGGTATCTTTACGGCATGTCGACGTTACACGTTTCCACATTGAAAGAAATTGCCACGGTTTTTAAATCACATATAAACAACGACCGGAAACAGTGATGGTAACTTCAGGTTTTCTTTCGGCGGACTGTGATGATATAGACCTCGCCCTGTCATTAGCTGTACAGTAAAAATTAATTGATTTTGTCCGAAGACATGTACGAGTGATAATAAACGACGTATGCTTTTGCTCTTCGGTCTCTTTTGACGCGGTAAACCGTACCATGCAGTCGGTGGTGTCTGAGCAAGTGCCGTTTTCGACAGTAGGGACTGGTGTAAAACTACTAAACATCATTCTAATACTCTGATAGTCCCAAAACATTATTGCTGTCGACTGAGAATCTCTTTTACTAAATTATTTTAAGGACATTTTTATTAGTAACATTCTACTCCCAACTGGGAGGACGCACTAACCCGCATTCTCGACTTCCTGTCAGAAAAACATGCTTTATTGTCCTGCGAATAGCGTATTCTTTTACGTGCGACTTTTAGTCGCTTAAGCCTACGTCCTACTATTATTTCGGCTCTTAAGATCCTGGTTCCGCCAATACTCGTACCAATGCTTAACTTCACCACAAGATAGTCAAGTACCTTGAAATTTTTCATGTTAAAAGCGGGGCATCATTGACCGGTTCGGGCCATTCTACCTTAATAGACCCACGTTAATCTACTCCAATTATAAACGGCCATTGTCAACCGGACCAGAGCGGAAAATTATACGTTATGACGCTGCTCCCAGCATAACCGTCTACTCTTCTTATACTTCCAAATGTGGACTCGAGTCCGAACCACTTTATAACAGATTTAATAAAATTATTGCTTGTCTGACGGGCTGGAAGCAGTCAACGTGCCAATAACAATGAGATTAACCGACTAGACTACTCGTTTGTCAACCATCCTTGTCCCTCTTTCTCCAAATTTTCTCATTCAATTGTCGATATTAAGAAAAGTTTAAATGCCTCACTGGTTAACGAACCAAACTTACATGCTGACAGTAACTTAGACTCATTCATTCAGAATTATGTCTTCCCCGTTGGGGAGTTCAGTCTTCTCCCAAGCGACTTTCTTAAACCACGGAACGCAAGCGGCGTGGGGCCATGGCCTAAGGCACTGAAAGGGGACCAAGCCGGCGGCGTTAGACACGCGTGAAGCCAAACGACCAACCGGCGTGCACTGCAGCGCCGAGTTCGTGTGGTGGCCTTGCTCACGCGTGCGGTCAAACATTCCAGACGTTTCCGCGGCGGAATTATTGCACACACGGTGGCCAATCAGCGACCAGCACGCCCCGGGCAGGAACGCTCTAGGACACCTTCAACGGCTGGCACGCCATTGGGTAGAATGTTGCAGAACGCACAGGGGCCAACGTAACAAGAGCATCTTTCTGACGACTTGTAACCCTTCGTGTCCGCAAGTTGCAAATAAAGTGCTTGTCCTCCAAACCGGCTCTCTTCCTGTTCTACCTTCCGTCTGGGACATAGCCTCCTGAACGGTGTTCGTAGGTGCAGTGGAGAAGCATCTTCGAAGGGTCTGTGTTTCAACAAATGCTGGACCGGACGTTGCTTAATGACTTTTTATGTTCTACGTTACCCAGCAGCAAATTTAACTCCTCTTATTAACACGGGTTTTAGTAAATCCAAAGTGCCCGGTGCTTGGCGTGCTGTCAAAATCATTTCCATCCCTAAAGATATCTAATACTGTTGATCTTAAATCCTTCCGCGCTTCTGAAGCTGACTGAACGAGTTGTCCTAAGTACTATTGTGTCAGGTTCCTCCAGTTTCGCAGACTCCTCCTAATTTGCATCTGCAGTCAAATGCAATACTCTAGTCACTGTTGCTCTTGCGGTCCATCCGATTTTAGGAGACCTATACAAGTCCTGTCGTGCGTATTCATGCACGTATCTTGATAACTCCGTAGCCCCCAGTATTGTTCCGCGACGCCTTCTCGTCAACAAAGCATCGGAGTGCGGCCCTTCAGGCTGGATTTTTATTGGGCTTGCAGAATATTTTCTCGTAATCAGATTTTAAGGTTTAACAGTTGGAAATCTATCCCTTGCCTATTGACCACGAAGTGTTTCAGAATTAAATGTTGTCCTTTTACCTCTTTTCCCTACAGAATGCAATTTGAGATTTCCAGTAATTGCCTAAATTTGAATAAAGCAAAGGTGGCGAAACATGTAGAATGTAATGATGTCCTAAATTCCGTGGTCTCATATTCAGCTGCTCACGACCACTGCATATTTATAAAGCAAACGGTTCGATAAGAAAACCGTCTAGGGCGCTCAAAGAGTACAGGTTTATAAACGGCGGAGCATGTTGATCAGACGCGCAAAATTTATGACATTAAATTTGGCCTAATTTCTACCCTCGCCTTGCGCGAATTTGCTATAAAAAACAAGAGTTCGAGTGTCTACATAATAAGTATGCTGATGATCTGGTTGTGAGTCACTCCGTCAAAAACAGGACTGATCTCCAACTTCTTAGGGAAGGCTTGAACTAGGCCGCAGGATTTTTGATTAAAAAGTACTTACTGGCCGGCAATCAGTTCAGTGTTCCTTTTCCTTGTCATTTAGCTATTTACACGGTGATTATGATGAAGGAAAATGTTTTGACTGACAATTTTAAAACGATTTTTTAAATTTCCTCGGAAATTAGTCATTAACTTGGAGTGACTGGCTGGAGTATGGCTGGCTGACGACGGCTAATAAGCCAGAAATGGCCATTCCAGTCTCCCTTGTCTTTGTCGGTAATACCATTCTGAATTAGTCTGTTTGAGACTTACAGACTCAGACTGAAATTTGATATGAATATTTGAGCCGAAGTCCATCAGCCACAGCTGGATAACTGCGTCATGTTCATAAACTGCCAACAGGCAGCCAGTAGAATAAGCACAGATTGCATGATATAACCAATTTGACAGCGCAGGCATTAGCCAAAAACCCAGATACGTGCTTCGCTGATATTCTGCCAATGCATGACACGTGCCTCGGCTTCTGGCTAGCACTGTGCTGTCAAGCATAGTGTACCGTGCAACCTGTGTGAAACAATACTTTTCCAAAAAGGCTTGATCCTTCTATCGCATCCCTCCCTTTCTCTTAGATACGTAACGCTAACAACATAAACCCTTTACTAGTACACCCAACTGACGTAGGACAATACTTACTCTTCCACTTCGACTGCATTGCCAACGGAAATCCTATTATCTCCTTTGTAATAACTGCTTTTCTATAAGTTGGTATGGTGCAACAGCTGATCATCTTGCAGTCAGTGTTCAAACTCACAAGCATTCCCCCCGAATACAGCAGATATCTGCTGTTTATCATAATTCTTATCGATACAAACGTTGCACTTGCGCATGCGGCAGAAATGTTAGCAGATCCAAGTTCTCATTCAGTATGCATAATTTTCTACTTGATCAATTTGGATATGAAAGTCAAAACCGTCTTTGCTCAGCCAACATAAACCAAGAGCCGTTGCAAGTCACTGCTCCATGACGAACCTCGGTAGCTCGTTTGCATTCCTCCTTATTATCGTGTCTCGAACTCAACGACTAGCCTCTATCCATTTGCAAATTTGTTTGTTTCTTTAAGATCGGACGTGAGTCCCAGCCTCACAGCCCTAGCCACCTGTCTAGCAATCTTCAGACATAATTATTTGGACATTCATCCTCAAAACCGTGTCACTGTCAGCACTCTTACAATCATATATCCACTCTTTATGAGCTGAAACACTGTAAGAGATGTTTGTTGTTCAAGCAGCATTTCTGACGAAATCATGCTGTAATAACTTACGGCGTGGGGACCGAATCAGAGGACATCTTTGGAGAGGACGCTGCTTTACTTGGGCTAGGCATGGGGGTTGTGTGCTGGTCTGGAAAACTGAGTTGCCCCAATACAGTTGTGCCCGCAGTGAAAACGATCTTCGGACATACTGTGGATGGAAGTTCCCTTGCGAACTCTAACTGGGGTAGGTTACTTAACTTTGTCTTTAGGTCTTCCCTTGTCAGGAGAATGTTAATATCCTGACCCTCGAGCAGCTCGGACACCTCAGTCTGCACTGACTCCAGGTAGGCCACTTGACACTCCCATTCTGGGATGCGTTCAATGGTTTGAAGTGTTGGACGTCCGACTCGCTGATGCAGCTGCTCCATCAATGCGTCCTCCTGCTTATGGATCTGAGAAAACGGTGCAAAGTAAGCCATGAAAGTGCAGTAAGTACTAAATTATTGCCCATTTAATACGTCGACTACAGTTCTGCATGTTAAACGACAAAAATATAGACAGAACATGCGGATTCTTCAGAAGTTGATTTGTCAGAATAGAACGCTCCTTGAAGTTTTTATATCTACTTCTCCGTCACAAGTTGTTGGTCAACCTGAGGTAAGACACCTTCTTTACTTCCATCATTTCCTTCTCGCTGCTAGGCTGAGGGATTACAATGGTTATTATCGCCGGCGAGCATTGATGACGAAATATTCTCCCGGACTGGGAGGTACTCGTTTATTTCCGCTTTACCACCTCGAAAGGCGCCTTAGTTTTAAAAACATGAATGCGACAATTCTGAAAAATAGCCAAAGGATTTGGAACAGGGGTAAGCAAGATGCATTCACAATAAATAAGTACAATTAAAGGGGAACTGCTCTCGGAGTTAACGCATTGCCATAGTGATGCCTGGTAGAGGTGCAAAATGATAAACTGGTAAGTTGCGATCGTATGTTCGGGATAAAAGTGCTCAGTTTAAACAAATAACAGCTAAGCGCCCGATCAGTTATAAATAAACAAAAATTCGAAGCTGATAAGCGTAAGTCTAGACAAATGGCTTAGACTTTTTTTTAGCATACTTTAAACTGCAGGTGAAATGCAGACAGGAAGGTGGAAGCTAGCATGAACGAATAGCCGTCAATACACTTTTTTAGGTTTTTATGGAGATACGTAGGTTCGTTATCGATCAGTTTACTGCAGACCAGGCTTGCGTTTTACCGATCTTGTTGTAAACTAACACATAGAACACTTACAACGTTGCCTCTACTTTCGTCACAGTACCAATGAGGCGGACATAATGCTCAGAAAACGAATGAACGAGGATCAAATGGTCGTTCTCTTGGTTATGAGCGCGGTTTTAGATGTATATCCCATTACCGCCCATTAAGTCAGCGCATGTAGACAACCGGTCCAAAGAGGTAGATAATGAGCAATAGGGCGGGATGGAAACTATGCGAACTAACGTAGAACAAATGATGCGTGGCAACTTTAATGCGTATGCTTGCGTGGATTGCATGTTTTGCCTCACCCTCCCTCCTCCCCCCCCCCAAAAAAAAGACAAAACTATGCTGTGCCACCTTATTAGATCTAAACGGGGTAATAATCGGGAGATGGCACCCAAAAAAATCCATTACCTAGAAATAATACCTTTAACAGTGGACTCAAACGCCTGCAGGCTATATCAGCGGTTGCAGGCCAACCTTAACGCACTACTTTGACTTTCCCTGACGGCCTAACATGGGCTGGCCGAACGAACATCGCAGGAGGTTACATGGACGATGGTCGCTATTACCCAACCATTCCCATTGTTACACACGTACACCTGAATATGCGGCATACATTCGCATTATGGCAGTTTATTACAAAACAAAATCACTTTTAAATAGGATAAGTCTGCACAACACGAGACAGGAACACTTGCCAGGCATCTGTAAAAGACATGGCATTGAAGCCAAACCAAAGACGATACTGTACTTCGTCTATGTGAGACCACACAGCTCGACCACATACAGGGCCTCCCTCGTAGAGTTTCCTTTTCAGTCTACTCCAGTCTTCCTCAATGGCATTGGTGTGCAGTCCGGTGGTAGGGTCCTTGAAGTTCTTTGAGTGGTTAACAGAGAAATGCAGATAACCTTCTGAGGGAAGACGATTATACGCCTTCCACTCGTCCGTTACAACTATACTGCCTTTGGCGACCCATTTTGTATTAACGGAACGGAGAGCGGGCCAACATCGATCATTCACCCGTTCAAATAAGGCTTTCCATCGGCTTGTATCGTACATCCCGACCGGCCACCACCAATAAAACCCCTATTGCCACCTGTCCCGTAAGACAGGCTGTTTTGGTTAGGCGGAGTTTTTGGGTGCCATCTCCCGATTTTTACCCTAAACGGAGGCCAACGTTGTCACCAAGCCCTCTAAGGGAGCAAGTGCAGTACATGTCAGTCTATTTGCCGTAAGTCTTTATATGTGCTGGCCTCGAAGCGCACATGTACCCCCATCATTTACGACGACCATGAGTCATTCAGTCACCAATGGGCTCAGTGCCCCAGCTACCACTGACGTTCACGTTAATCTCTGATTTTTATATTCTGTCATACCTTCGGGTCACATAAATAACAGAGCTTTGATTCTGTATACGATGCGTAAAGTCTCTTAAAGTAAACAGAGGGATTTAGCACAACCCGTGAGGGGTGTGAGCCAGAGACCAAATGCTTGGTCAGCCAGTATTGCAAAGTCCAGTTCCCTGTTGGGGGATGGCCGATAAAGGAAGAGAATAAAATCAGTGTCCAGTAATACGACACTTTGACCTTCGAGTTCGATTATGTCTATCATGTACTCCACAGCAGGGTAAAGCAGGGATGGTGACTTGCGCATAAGTTAGTAGACATGCGCAGCGTCTACCGTATCCGCTCATCCTCCCCACCTGGGCTTGATGTCAATACAGAGTCTAGAAGACCGGAGGCGGGAGAGAACGCGAGTGACTGGCAAGGCTAAAACCCGTACCTAGACGTACCACCCCACCCTTGGTCCATAACATACACTTGACTAGGATTTTCAACATCGACAGAAACGGGGGCGGCAGGGGTCCCAGTTGGCGCGGCATGTGCCTGTAAACGGGCCTGCAACCGCACCCCAAATGTTAGCATTTATTATGGGTGCGCATTCTCGATAACACCTGCTAGAATTCGATGTAGCCACCGTGTTGGTTTAACGCATCTACCGCGTGGCCCGTTTTAGTGATTCATGTAGCGCAGGGAGACAAAAATGTCGTGCGTACACGAACGGGGATGAAAGTGAGCACTTTTGAGCAAATAATGGACAGACGAATGTATCATACTGTTTTGAACTTAGTCAGGTCGACTGCAATCCACCGCTATATAATTGCGATTTAATTCGTTAGGAAGGTCTTAGAAGTCTGTCCTCGTAAACAGGGTATAATTTTGGTCTAGCAAGTCTCGTTTTCTCTTCACTAAATAATGAAGACTTTACCATATAACCTAAAAAGCTTGCAATATTGGACTTGAGGGTTGAGTTCTGCTGACCGATGGTATCGTCTGTTTGCCGAAGGTGGACAGAATAGAATGGACAGACGGCGACCAAATTCGTGATGTATTAAACGCCCTCGTAAGGAAGACTAAAAATCAGAGGTTTGATTGCGTTTTGTCCAAATTTTGGATGTACGAACGTTTTTAGCAGGCAGGACCACATATATAGGTTATAAATCGCGCTCGTCATCCATGCATTCGAGACGCCTATGCACCCTCGACCAGAAATCAAATTTCGAAAAGTGGGCTTGACGTGAAAATATACCAATCAACTTTTGGTTCTTTGCAGTATGCCTGTGGATACACGTGGAAGTGACCTACTGTGCGCTTGGCTACTAGTCTGATAATTGAATAACCCTGTCGATTTTGAGACTGTACCAACGTCATGAATTCTTTTTCCATCTGCTATAATGACAGATACTCATGAGTACCAATTCTACGATGCGCTTTATCTTATAGTACTTAGTGTAAGGGCTTCATGGCAGAGCATTCCAGCACTCAAAGGCCAAAGAACCTTGACTATATGTCACTTAATTTAGACGGTCACTTTCCGTTTCGTTCAAACTATACAACGATGCACATTCAGAGTAAAGTGATCTCACTTACTAGAGGAAAAAGCTCACAACGTACTCTTTTCAGCTGTGGGCAATAGCACTTTGAACAATCATTCTCACTGTGATATTTTATGGTCCGACATTACCTCCGAGTGACGTGATTTTTAGCTTTTTCGTCTGTTGTTCGGGTTAAGTTATAAGTTTAGAGTAGATGCAGAAATATGAAAAGGGGCTACGAAAAATTGTCGTTTAATTATTCATGAAAACAGTCTGTAAAACTAACAATCAGTACTATCCTAATGTCTTCAGGTTTAGTCTGGGAAGAGGGCTGAATTTTCATTATTTTTTCAACATTTTCCCTTTTACTAAAATGTCTCCGTGAGATATTTCGTCGTGCCTGGGGCACATCTAATATCCAGTTTAGTAAGAGAGTTTCATGCTATCATAGCAGCTGATGTGTGCTTGAGCCATCAGCCCAATCACCTCAGCAGAATTCCAGTAGGTACTTAGGAGGAAACTGCCCTGATTACTTATATTTGCGCTTTCTTGTTGGTCGGTTGGATTGATATTGCAAAGATGCTAACTTCATGTTCCTTAAAAAACCAAGTGCAGTAAAACTAGTTAAGTTGCAAGGTTGCGAATTCACGTAATCGATCTACTGTCCTTAAAACGCGGAAATTGTGTTGGAAACTTGCCATTCAGGTTGGTTGGGAAGGAAAGGAAATAATTTCGTCTTTTTTTTACCACCAACAGTTATAAGGAACTTAGATAACGAAAATGTTCATAAAAATAAACACAATGTTTAGGCAAGCAGCCCAATTCGAATTCTCGCGAAAGTTGTGCATTCGTGCATGGATTGCGTCCACTTCGAGCTTCGATGATGGAGTGTTTCCTACGATTCTGCATTCAGTGATGACCTATTTCCGAAAAATTACATTTTGAGCAGCAGCAGCAGCAGGAGCAGGAGTAGTAATAGTAGTAGTAGTAGTAGTAGTAGTAGTAGTAGCGGTGGTAGTAGTAGTAGTGGGAAACAGGATATGTAGTCATATTTTTAGCGTTGCACATGGAATGCTTTTATATGACGCTGTTTGTCCGTCGGTGCTTTGCTCTATTTTGATTTACGCTAACAACTGACGCTCACCCCCATGACGGTCACAGGTATGCGCGTGCACGTACTCAGAAAATGCATCGGTGAACGTTATTTATCACCTGTCAGGTGCAGACACAAGCACAACATGTGCAATGCAAAGGATGCTTGACCAGAAGAATTTGTCGTAAGTTTCTTATCGACGTTCCCGTAGTGTGAGACAGTTAAGGAATTCAAAAACATGCCGCAACATGTATCAGCTTTCCGCCTCAGTACAGACCCAAGATATCGATTTTGGAAGCAAAAGATCACCAACTTCTGAGAATGCAAAGAATGAAGAATATTGTCACCCTGTCCGCCGATGAGGGACGCTCGACGGTCGTCATGATCAAGGCCGAATATCGGACGAAAATGTAGATTCAACTGATAAACAAGGAGACTTACGCGATATCGGCTGCCCAGGAGCCAAGAGAGCTTGTGAACAGAATAAACAGGATGGTAAACTGGTTTAGGAAGGTAGGAGCACCCACAGGAAGGGAAGCACTGACCGTAAAGTCCATTAGTGCCGTGATGGCGCATTTCTAAGGCCCGATAAAGATGCACAAGCCGAGAGAGCCTCTACTTCCTACCCAACCTTTCGCTTGTCATATTGAGACTATTAGTGACAGTTTTTTTTATCAGGGATCCAGAGTAGACAGCGAGGTCGGTTGAAGAGTTTTTGACGCGTATCCGGTATCTGGAATAGGAGGCGAACGAGGTGATAGCGTTATTTGACGGAATTTATTTATGCATTTCTATCCCATCCGGCTTGGCTATGACACTATTGACTGCCTTCTCTGAGAAAAAGATTACGAAGCTGACCGACAGTTCGAGCGGTCGCACATCATCGAGCTCCCGAAACTGTACCATACGACTTTCTATACATTCGACGGCTGGATATACGAGAAGAAGAAGAAGAAGAAGAAGAAGAAGAAAATGATGATGATGATGATGATGATGATGATGATGCTGCTGCTGCTGCTGCTGCTGCTGCTGCTGATGATGATGATGATGATGATGATGATGATGATGATGATGATGATGATGATGATGATGATGAAACCAGTAGGTTCACCCTTGTCTGAACAAAATAGTTTCATAGAGGCTCCAGAGACTGGTATTTAACTCGTACCTCTAATATTCTGGACAAGCTTCGTCGATGACACATTTGTAATAACCAAAAAGTCAGGTGTAGGCCTTCAGTATACTGTTGGATTCAATCTTTCCGGAAATCCGATTAACTATGGCAGAAGAAGTCAACAAGCAGTTGCCATTCCTTGACGTACAGGTTATAAGGAAGGCACACGGGGAGATAACGTCAACGGTCTATCATAATGTAAATAACACTAAGTTCATTCTTCACTTCAGAAGCATTCACCTCTCTGGCCACAAACACATTTGCATCAGAAGCCTCTTCCAAAGCGTTCAAGCACACCGTATCGACGTGAGTGGAAGGAAGCACGAGGTGAAATAATTGCACATCCAATTTGGGACCAAAGGCCATCCCATGTTCTCTATATGCCAGTGTCACAGGAAGCCCCACTTTGAGAGGTCAAACGGGGAAAAGTCAAGGTCCTGGCTCACGATTCTCTCTGTGAAGAACACTTTGAGGGTGACTGCAAGAATCTAGAAATCTTTTGTGATTAGTGTGGATCATAAACCGGGATTCACAATGCAGGCAAACCTCTCGGCACGCGATTGCGTGATCATCGACTAATAATAAATCGCGAGGATAAGCTATCACTGGCATACGGCCACATAAAACCTCAGACCACAGTTTCGCCTTTAAGAAAGTTAGGATGAGTGGCCGAGGTAAAAAGATGGCCAGACTGGTGCTCGAGGGTTGGTCTTCAACTACCACAATTAACTGAGTCATGGACATATATCCCGCCAACAAGGCGCTACGCGCAAGACTCGAATAAGCTCAGACAGTGTCAATAAAGCAGGCGAGCAAAGTCATACAGGGTTGACAGATGGCGCTCTTGAAGAAGGGGGGAGTGGCCGACGGGAGGTCAGATGACCAGCGTTGGAGCACTGCTTCACCGACGTGCCCACGAGGCGGAAGACAACTTGCACGAGCGTTAGCGGCTGATCACCCCGCCAGCTGAGGAAGGGGAGGCCAGCAAGCACGCTGACCTGGCTTTCAACCACGACGGCCGAAAAAGGGACAAAGAACACGCGAGCCCGACAGCGGTCGGTAGAAAAGTGGCAGGCTAAAGTTTGTACGTTTATCGCGGTTACAATGCTAAACAGGCGGCAAGGCTGAAAAATTAAGGCCGGTAGGAACAGCCACCTCACCACTCTGATGATGGAAAAAAGGAAGATCCCGGAACGTCGGTACAAATATTATTCGATCCATAAACTCGCATCTTCCTCTTCTTCTCTGCGGGATGATGGACGCGACACGGATAGCACCAAGTACGTGGGTATACAAACCGACGATTATACTGCGTGCCTAATTTATGCACTCTAATGATGAGATTGGCTATTTAGATCAGAAATGAGTCATTTAGAAAATGATGCTTCATATTAACGTTCAACTGGAAACTCGCATGCATGACCATCAGTTTTCAGCAAGGAGACGAGACCAACTGTCTCGACTACCTATGTATACGCTGGAATTTAGGTACATTTTTTGCCTTCTTGGCGTCCACACATCCCCGGGAGGCCGAACATTTCTCTCTCTCACCCTCGAATGACTCATATATAAATCGGAACATCGAAGTAGATGCCATGTTTAAAAAAACCCAGAGATAAACGGAAAAGACAGCAGACAACATGACTCATAGAACATTAACCGAACTTCTCATATGTTATTTCGGTCACAGTATAATGCCGGCTTCTGAAGGCGATATATATGTATATATATGGGTTGCCGTGATTATTTTTAAGTCTTTTGCTTTTTCCGCTTTTCGTACATATTCAAATTTAACCGTGTTTTTCTCCTTTAATAGGGCCCAAAGCAATTGGCTGCAGAATTTCCTAGTTTCCTTACGTGGATGCCACTAGCATAGACCGTTCAAACCAACGAGGGAAGAAATGAAAGAACTAGGCAAAAAAGACGGGTCTTAAGAATCCTTAGAACGGTTTAAATGACTAGCTTCAATAGGACCTACATAAGTAGTGTAAATCTTTACATTGCGTTTCAGCCTGAAGGTTTGTTTGCATTGGGGTTTGTAAAAAGTCCTTGCTTAACTGGTTTTCAACATTTGTATTGCACACCAGTAAAAGATAAACTTTTGGCCTGACTAGATGCTATTCCGACAGAGCGTTATGAAGGCTGTCAAAAATCCTGTGTACTTAGTTGCAGGTTTAAAAAATTGTCAATATCTTGTCCCTGAACTGGTAATTTCGTAAATATTCGTAAAAACAGACTGCAAAAACTCTATATACATTAGTTGTCTATAGATAACTAGCTTGTGAAAATCCAGGGCTTTGTGAGCCGCTCCTTCTATTGGTGCCATAAATGTGTTATTGCATTGCTTACCTCGTCTATTGTTTTGTCAGCACAAGATCGAATTTCTGATTCAATCTTTCTAACAACCTCTCCCACATCATCCAGCGCCCCGAGCCACTTTCTACTCCGTTGGATTACAAGTTGCGTCTCCTGGATGCGCCTCTGCAACTCACTTCGCAGCGCCGCAATCGCCTCACCAAAATTGGTCACATCATGCTCTCTGTGATCGTTGAATGTGCAGAGAACACATATGCAACAACCGCATGCCTCACAGTAATACCTCACTGGCTCTTCGGGGTGATCCTTGCAGGCAATTGAACTTTCTGCAGCCAACTTGAACACCGCATGATCCTTGGTCACTCTAATCTGTCTGTGCCGCTCTACACATTGTTCGCAGAGCAATTTGTTGCAGTCCAGACACTTGGAAGTAGCCTTTGGCACATCCGAAACGATGGCTGAAGAAGCTCGCTGGTTCGTGCTGACTGTTGCGTCACCGGCACTGGCGTTTTTTCGGTTATTTGTGCTGGCTACAGGTGTCACCGAATGTCCACGTCCCACGCTATCGCCGAACTGACCACAAATTTCACACTCGCCGTAGCCCGAAATGCTGACGCGACCGACGCGGCCGTGACCGAAATCAACATCGCCTGCAGAATCCGCGTCACCTTCCAGATGTCGGTTTTGCTGCCCACCCTTCAACTCGGTGATGGTCGAAGCCGAACTGCTGGAGTGGGTTCTGGTTCTTTTAAGTAGATCAGCAAGGCCGGAAACAAGGAAGTTGTCCGGTAGTTTCTTCACGCCACCAATTGGCAGAGTGGTGCGTTTACGGCAGAGTGGACATGTGAAGTGGTGGTAGTCAGTAACCTTGTTGTAGGTCACTTCTGCGGAAATATGGTTCTCAATACAAGTTTGACAAAAGGTGTGAAGGCAAGCAAGGGATTTGGGGCTCTTGAAATTATCCAAGCAAATTTTACAAATGAGGAATTCGTCATGTATTTCACGTGCTATTTCGCCTGAAAGACTGCCGAAGAAGATGGGATCAGTCTGCCCAATGGGGGTCGCAACAGCGGATTTCGGTGAAGGAGAAATTGGTGACACATGTTCCCCCTTCATCTCGGTGTCTGGGCTCTGCCGATTGGCCGATACAGAATCTGATCCCGGGTGACCTTTCAGAAGAAAAGAAAGACAGTTTTATAGGCGTATGTACGAAAGTTGGATAACTCCCGAATGGACCCTCTCGTCGACAACAGTAAACTATAATTTCCAAAACCACAATTGCTTCATCTCAGTGAGGTGAGCAATAACAGAAGATGGGGGTGTTGTTTTTACTGCAGGGATACCGAATAAAACCTCTGACGGCCGTTTCCCCGTGCATGTGCCTATGAGAGGACTCCCGATTGACATAATATATTGCAATATATATATGGGTCAAGTTGAAAGCAACACTGGTAAATGCATGCACACCACGGCTCGAAAAGTTCGAATAATGACAAGCAAGATGATACCCTGCATACCCTTCACGACTAAAGTTGGACTATGCGCGATTTCTTATGAAATGCACGCAAAAACTAAGATTTTGCGTATATTTTCGGGGACACAGGATTGCATATGCATAAACCTTGAATGTGCATGAAAACTTTGCGCCAGGTATGCGCTGCATTCTTCACGGACGTGATTTACGCGCAAAGCTGTGAAGACTTTTCTCTAGAAACCAGTATCGTGTCATGTACTAAGTGACCTGACGGATGTTTTGTGTTACGATGCATTGCAACCTTTCTTAAATAATCCCTTCTATTTGGAATCAAAATGAAGATTCTTCGTGAATTATTCACCAGTTTTGCAGTCAGTAACTTCTTAACTTCTTTAAAACGCTCAAGTAATAATGATGCCTTCTGATTTAACCATCAATAATAGGAACTGGTCAACACCTGCGGGAATACAGGTTCAACTCTTGCAGAGGAGAAAAGCAGAGAAATTCACCATCTGTAACTTCACTCCCCCATGCACACCTTCATTTGCACGTTCGGAGTAGAACTTCTTCGGAAAAGCATGCAGTCAGCCGACTGCAGAACCATCATGCATCTTATTAGACCCACGTGGTAAAAGTGCTGCACAGCGATTTGATAAAACAGCAGTCTATTCGTCCAACAAACCCATCAAGACACCTAACAACTCCGCTTGCACAAAATGTGTCTGGAGTGTTTCCTAGACAGTTTAAACAGGCATGGGCGTGGTGTACATCGATCTATCCGGATTGCAAAACGAAAGTGAGTGCTTGTGCTTTACCTTGGATGTAAAGGTCAGTAGCCAACACAGGCAATGGCATGACGACTAACGATCAATAAACGGGAAGTTTTAGCTCTGACGACAGACGCATTGGGATGGGTATTTATGATCTATTTGCCGATATCAAATAGAAATTGCTTTCCCGTCTTTCTGCCTTTGTTCATAAAACCTGCCCCCTTTGACGCCAAACGCCGCGTTGTAAGCTACACTTCGAATTAACTGACAAATATAAATGCTCGTGTTAACAGGTATAGGCCGAAATTTTAGTAGTTATTTTAACCAATAGGAGGGATACAAAGTTTAGACCATGTGCTGGTATATGACTTAAATCAAGAAATAAAATGAATGCTTTATAACAATCAGCAAAATTTGAGCCACAGGTAACTTCTTCTTCAAACGAACTCTTCAGCTGTCCTCTGGGCTAGGTCATGAGCCGTATGACTCCGATAAAATCCATAATATTATTAGCAAAATCCAAGTCCATTAAAAAATAGCAGACATATGCGCTCTTGGTTGCCTGTATATCCAGCACTGTGGCAATGTGGTAACTTGTTCGGGAAGCTAGTTAAAATTACGGACGGTCCAGGAGGACAGAAGTTGGCTTGTTTCTTTTTTAGTTTTGATGTGGAATAAATTTCTTCACAGACGGCGCTACCTCTGTGCGTGTCACCATATTCGCATGACGGCCTCGTATTTCCAGTTTCAGATGGAGAGGTACTTTTAAGAGTAGGAACCGTCTCATGTTCTCTGGTCTCACGACGACTACTTAGCCATTTGTCGGGTGAGTGGACGTCAATTAACAGCTCGAGTTCCTTGTAGCAATTCAGACCAAGTAGTGAGATCCCTTTTCACGTCGTGACTTTTCTTAAAAACTGCATGCTTCTTATTTCTTTCGCAGAAATTATTCTAACTTGTAAGTAAGTCAGTCTGACTCTCTTACACTTCGGTGCTCATTGGTTCCTCTGAGAGCTGCAGGTCCCGTAGTGATATAACTGTCCGTTTTTAGCATCTCAAACATAACCCCGAACGTCTAGTTCAAACTATTCTTCTCAACAAACAGAATGCGTTTGTTTATTCGATGCGAGTGCCAACTCCGCGTAAGCTGTACTGACAGTAACTGTCATCGCTCACCACCCATTAGTCATTTCCTTATCTTAAAAAGAAACAGACTTTTGAAGACCGAGAAATCTTTTCATGGATCGCAGACGAGTGTGAAGACTGAAAAATTTAATGATGGGGACTGAGGAACGGTGGTTTCGATTACGTGGGTCGTCATTTTCGCTAAAGTCTGCAAAACAATAACGTCACTCTAGTATAATTACTTATTAGAACAACCTGTTCTAATTTCTTATTTCTTTAGTCGTCGAGAAATAAAACATAAAAATTATTGACGCACCATTTTCCAGGTTTACATCAAATTGACCTCAAATATTAAGTCGCGTTACATAAACTGGTCTTGAGTGACTGAACATATATCTAGCCGACTATGGAAAATATGGAACGCGTGCAGCCGAAAAAAATGCTCCAGCACTCTAACTAAACTGTCGATCAACCGAATCACTCGAGGTTCTCTACCTTTGAACCATCGTAGTCCTGTGGCTTATATGTTATTATCCTACTTAAATGAGGGTAATACTGTAGTTATTATGTCTGAGTTACTGAACATCTATGAGTTCCCATATGTACCTTCTTCATGTTTGATGATCTGCAGCAGCAGATCTAGAAAGCTCAATCTAGTCTTTTCTAGAGCGCATGCTAGAATATACTGAAAGACCAATAAATACCTAGATAATATGGTGAAACCCTTTGAACCAGATTTAGAGATGGCTTCTTAGTTCCACCTGAAGATGCGAGGGCGTGGGTTACAGTAGCGTCTTTGAACTTGGAAGTCTGGTGACGAATAATATGCCTAAATCATCTAAGTTATCTTTCCTTAACGATTTGTGATATCGTTGGAGCGACTGAAATTTATTTGAGGCCCATTAACACATTTGACGACTTGCAACAGTTTTGCTACCAACATCGATTCGGGCGAGAACGTGCTTTCAATAACACTGGAACTGTTTAAGACTTAAAAGTGGCCAATTGAATATCTAGGGGGTCTTCTTTTAACCCAAAATGCAAATAAAGGCTAGTCTAGTCTTCTCGGGCTTGATGAACAAAATAGTTGAGGTAGTTCCGCCTTTCGTCAAGACAAAATTCTTCAAGTCATCATAGCTGAGCCCCTCGCTCTGATGCAAATTCGACACTGCGAAAACGAGCACAGCATGTTCGAGCATTTATTCAATGACGAAATTAAATAGGATGAGCGACTGGAAGCATCAGTTTTGAATATCTGACAGGACAGCTGAGAGTAGGAAGAAATTTTTACTAAAACTAATTCGGGCAGCGAGGGAACTTTGGTATGCCTCGATCCAGTCGAACACTTGTTCCGGTGCACTCTTAGGCTCCATTCTTTTTTATTACATTAAATGGGATTGCACTCTACGATAAGGCAAACAGAGAAGAATACTGTCATTTGCTCGCATATGTAGTAGTATACGCGAAAAAAGTATAGCGTAATTAATTAGACGATGTAATCTCTCCAACGTCGAAGGTACGGTTGATTGGATCTTGTAATCGCATCACACACACTTTAGTACGGCCCGAAAATAAGGGTTTTATCAGTCTTTGCAGTAATGTCGATGAGAATGACGATACAGTATCTCCCAAACTTCGTCTTAATTCCTCTCTTTAAAACAAACTAAGGGACGCCAAGTTCCAGTCTCCAGTTAGGATCGGTCTCCCTGATTGTTCAAACATCTTATAAACCAGATTATTGACGTAGGACAGACTTAGGCAGCGGTTTTATTGCGTAAGTACTGTATCGGCCATTTTGTCTTCAGAAGGGATGTCATTTAACATTACATAACCTGAAGAAAAGCCAACCACCATCGCCGCAAAGTTGGGAAGACATTCGACATACTCCTACAGGCGGTTGAGCTCGGCCGAAGTGTCAGCAAAAAAGTCACACTTTGATGACGATTAGGTTCATTTAGTGCATCTGGCCTACCGCTGCCATTGTGAATTATTTACTAAATTTTTTAACGTATGCTATGCTAGCAGACTGTCCTGTAGCTTCACCACATTTGTTCAATACTTTTTTATCTTATTCAAACGTCTTTTCTGTTATTTTCCTCTTTGGCGGAAGGAATTACCAATACAGACCCTGGCACCAGTTGCTTCGTTGGGCAGCGGCAACAACCATATTCTGTCACCGTAATTACACGCTAGTGTATGAACCTTAAGTCTGTATTAACTGAAGATTTCAATGAAGATCAGTTACTGCTGACTACTCCTCGTTCCCGGGCGTAGAGAAAGACTGGATAGCCATTTTCAGAATTTCGGTCAGGTTGTGTAGTTGCGAGGTTTCAAAGCCAATCATTCCTGTAAATCATCACTTGGCACGAGGAGGAGGTAACCCCTGAGGTTTTGATGGACGAAACATGCTCGGAACCGTAACTGTTGTCTTTCTTGATCGCATCGATTGAGTCGGTAGCATGCAATTAAAAGAAACTTGAGCTGCCCAGAGTGTCATCTGCCTGGCCTGTCTCGAAGCCACACTTTGATTCCAGGGCGGATGGGTGGTCGACGCTATATTGAGAGCACTCTGTGGGGACATACAGTCGGTTGTGATAAAAGGTTAGGTAATCATTCACCATTAATGCATGGAGCACCAAGACGAACAAGTCGAAATTTGCACTATTTTGAAATTCAGCTTGGTCCGATTTAGTCATTCCAGCCGCAAACAAGTATTATTAGAGCACGTAGGAAGAGTTTGCCAACGGCCTCTGTGCGTTATCCCATTACTTACCGGCTCCGACACAAACAATGATTTGCCAACTTGAAAGCGTCAAACACCAGCCTACTTTTCCGAAAGAAGCCCTATGGGCCGTTGTGGTGAAGGAAATAGTGGAAATTCACTCCGGACTATTAATTTCGCAGTAGCCTGGCTCCTGAGTAATCCTTTCAAAGGAAGGTATGCATTTGTATTTTGGTGACGATTCCTCCGCGGTTGAGTCTCAACGAACTTTTGTCCATTCCAGTATGTAAAAGAAGATATCCGTGTCTGATTATGCGCCCCGTCTTACTTAAAATTAGCTCTGCCCAGTGGGCTATGTGTGTTGCGGGCTCTGTGGCACATAGGGCAACAGTGGGTTTAGGCAATTTTTTAACTAGATGTATTTAAAAAGCTCGGCGCGGTTGAGCCTCCAACAGCCTTTTGATTGATTGCTGGAATTTGAGGCCTGTATGAACCTAACCACAAGATGTTGGTGGCAAGCAGACCTATTTTATGGCGTCAACGGACTTTAAGAAATTTTATAGGACAGTCAGCCTGGCAAACTTCCACAGTTGTTAGCCCGCAATTCCTTATTCACTGTGCGAACGAGGATAAAATCCTTGCAGATGGCTTTCGCTGTAGGTCGTTCTGTTATCCTCCACTCGTGCATGCGTCCGGCGGACAGCTAATGGGCTACCAGGTAGACTCGACTTCCCCGATTATAATGTTTAGCACATGTTTTGATCTAACTGCATTGCTGGGATTGGAAGGCAGTACTTCTAACTTAAGTCCGTCCAGATTCTGGCATATTCTGCAAGTTTCGCAATTATAATATTCTTTTGAGGTACACAGAAATGATATATGAGGAACCATTTGGCAAACACCACTTTCCACCTTTGCAAATCACGAAAGTGGTCTATTCCAGTCTAGGCAACTCTTTTGCTCGAATCACAAGGAAAATTTGGTTTAAATAAAAGAATGATACTTTGAAAGCTTTGCCATCATTATAAGCTCTCACCGCTAAAATTTTCAAATACACCGAATGTATGTCGGATCAACAGCCTTTTGTCTCAAGATCCTGGAATAACAATTACTCAGCCCAAAGTAGGCTCCTCTTGCGAGTCAAGACGAATATCTTATCAACTAACCTGAGCAGATAGCAGGCGTCATTTTAATACAGAAGGCCTATTACGAATTTGGGGAACGAGCAGGTCATCTAATAAGCCTTCGAATACTTGCATTTTAAAAACTGAGAACCTTTACTAAAACGTACGGAGAATTTTCTAGCTGGTCAAAGACTATCTAGCAGAGGGGAGACGACAGAGTCTGGGGGGTAGAGTGATACAGCACTGTTTCGGGCTTGTTTGCCTTCATTCAGCCAATCATAACCCTGACCACCAGCTGGTACCGGAAACACAAACATGCGCTCAGACGCACCTGGCGCAGCTGGTCCACCACTGGGGTCTACCAGATGGGTCATAAGCACTTCATCGAACCGAAATTCATCAGTGCCTCGCCACCCGCCATTCTCTATCGCTGTATCAATCTACCCCCCAGACTCTGTCGTCTCCCCTCTGCTATCATAGCTTGGCCGACTTCGGCCTGGTAGGTGGTTGCCTGTTCGTGACCCCTGTCGCCCATACGAAGCTTGTTTGCTTCGGGAAGCCAATGGATCGGTGTGCGCCCATTCCTGAGTGAACAAAGACCATCTATTTTTGAAGTGGAGTCTAAAGTTAATTGTGAGGCTGTATTATATGATAAACAATATCCTAGACCAACTGTTATAGTGTTTATTTTAAAAAGGAACTAGTTGGAACGCGACGGAATATAAGATGCCTTAAATACCATAATTGCGACTGCAGAGGTGTTACTCTTCTTTGCGAATGCTGAGAGTTTAAAGCCCTACTTGTGTTAATTTTCGCACCATGATGCACATCCTCTTTAACTTTTCCTCAATTGAGAAAACGTGGCAAATTTCATCCGCGCCGCTGACTAACGCGTACAACCACAACTGCCGACAGGCAGCTAGTAGTATATACTGAGGTTACATAATTCCATACTGGCTTTTATAGGTGATTTAGCTAGTACCTGTGCTGACAGAATGGTATCCTGCAAACCCGAAAACATATTCTAATGCAACCGCTCAGTTTGGTTCAGCGATGGTTTCTGATACCATAAAAATAAACACTGGATTGGAGAGTGCTGTTCTGTCATACAAACTAAAAGCAGTGCAACAGCTGCCCAGCGGAAAGGCACCTGGAGCAGACGCAATGCCAGCCGAAATCTAAAAATACGGTGGCACAGAATCGTGAAAAGGCTTACCTCGCTTTTTCATGATGTGTAGCAACAAAGACACATCCCACAAGAGTTAAAGAGTGCCACCATCGTACGCATCTACAAACGCAAGGAGAACCGGCAACTATGCGATAACCAAAGAGGCATCTCCCTTCTTAGCGTCGCAGAAAAATTGTCCTCTGCGTTCTACTTAATCGCCTAAAAGCAAATCTCGAACAGGGACTTGTCCCAGATGTACAGTGAGGATTCCAAAACACCATGGACCCGCAGATATGCGCTTCGCGGATCGACAAATACAGGTAAGTTCCAGGAAATTAGGACCAACCTCTGCACCATCTTTGTGGATCTGACGATGGCCCTCGTCACAGTGAATCACGATGGACTCTGGAAAATCCTGCTGAACTTCAGATGTCCTGAACAGTTAACTCAAATGGTAAGGCACGTTCACGACGGGATGATGGGTCGCTTCACCAGTGTGGTGAATCAGGGCTGCCTACACTCCCCACCCCAGTCAGTCTCATGTTCTCCGCTATGCTAATGAACAGTTACCGCAAGGAGCGGTCGTAGATCGGCATCGAGTACGGAAACGACAAAAATTGTTCAGCATCCGTAGATCGAAAGCATTTTCAAAGTATCCATGGCCTCTTGTTCGCGGATGGCTGCGCGCTAAACATGACAACGGAAAAGACAGGTAGCAGAGTGTGGACCTCATCGCTCTCGGAGGGGACAATGGTTCTGCATCAACCGGCGGCAAATGCTGACTATACCGAATCTCATATTATTGTAAGTGGACCTCACTTCACATCAGTGGAGAAATCTGTGTACTTTGGGAGTATGAGTTCAATAAATATCAAGATCAACGGCAAAATTGTTAGCCGGATATGCAAAGTCAGTCAGGACTTCGGCCAGCTAAAGCACACCGTCTGGGACCGTCACAAGATCTTACCAAAGACAAAACTGTGGATGTGCAGGGCTGTTGTTCTGACGCCGTTCTTGTACGGGGCGGGGGCGTGGACTGTTAATGAAGGCCAAACAAGAAAAATCAACCATTTGCACTTTGGTTGCCTCCGAAGAATACCGAAGGTGAATTGGCAAGAAAGGATCCCAGAAGATGAGATCTTGTAAAGAACCGGCGTCCCCCGCATCCAAGCCAAGCTGAAGCAGCTATAATTAGGATGAATCAACCGCGTGGTGAGGATGAAAGATGCGTTCTCGTCCAAGCATCTAGCAAATGGCGACATATCTATCGCGCTCCAAACACAGCGGATAAATGTGTCGCTACAAGGACACCTCGAAGACCTGAAGAATGTGAATCCAGAGACCCGAGACGATCTCGCCCACAATCCAAAAGGATGACGCACTGACGTAGATACTGGCAGAGCCATCTTCGAAGCTACCCAAATAGCCGTTGCCAATCAAAACAAGAGGCCCGCAAGATTCGTGTGTTACGGGTTACTGACGCCAGCGTCCAACCCCTACCATCGTGTCCACACTGTCAACGGACGTTGTGGGTACGGATGGGCTTCGTTGGACATCTGTGGTCTCAATTTAATGTCAACAAGTATAGCCCGTCTCTTATCCCACAAGGCACCAGCACCAGCAACATAAATGAGGATACTCCTACCGATCCGCAAAACATCACCACCACTGCCCCTACAACCCAAAATGTGGGCCCGGTTCCAACCTTTCCCAACTGCAATCTCACTTCCTCATCACGCAGAGGCGTGCTCTGTCAGTTGTAAATCCACAGTACAGAGAAAGACGAACATGTAGTCCGACATGTACCTATCACACATAGTTCCTCTGCCTGCAATGCTCCGGGAGATTCAGATACCGCATGGATCTAATTGGTCATATGTGTATCCACAACAGTGGAATTCACTGCAATTTCATTAGGAGAAACCTACCTCCTGCACCTGATAACGTGTGCAAAACCACCAACCTGGCCACCATTTATATGTTCGCCACATCGTCAGCTCAATAGCCATAGCCCCATCCTGCCGTCAGTGCCCCGCAAATTTGCGTCACGCATCGTCGTGGTCGGACACATATGAACCCACCGCACTGGGACCAGTGTATCAGTTTCGGGAGCCAGAGCGCACATCCGTGGCATCCGCTTCACCCGCCAACACTGCCCAAAGACATTCAGCTATTGCATGGGCCTAATCGGTCATATGCACTTCCATGAAAACCCGCCGTAGGACACCGCGGAACCCCACAGCTACAGCTTATCTCACCCAACCGTGTAACAAACAAAAGCCCCCCCCCCCACAGCACTCAACACACGGAAAGAACATGCAATATTCAAACAAGTGAAAAGTATGCTCATTGATATGGTATACGAGCTGTTGCAGCTTCGTCAGCCACTGCGCCTAACACCAGCGCCAGATGAATGAGCGGCTCGGACAATGGACTGGCGCATGGGAGAAGGAAGAGAGAGTGTGGTCGACAGTGGGATCTCGCTCTCAGGGCGCATCAGAACACTCCTCACTAAAATAAACCTTACACTCTAGGATTGGTGGCTTGGAAGGTTGAAAGCTGACTGGATACCTCGGTCCTCCTAGTCAATACTGCTTGTGTATATGGGATGACTGATTGGGGGGGTGGGAGCCAAGCTCAATGGCGCCTTAGCATGGTCTCTAAGACACTCTCGCGAACGGTAGATACGAAATAATTTTTTTGCAAACTTGGTACACTGTGTGAAAGTCAGATCGCATGTGTCTCGAAAGAGTCTGGCTGTTTAATTTTGTCACCCACTGCGTCCGAACCCGTATGCGGCCGTTTTGAGCCTGATGGGTGAGGGGCGAGAGAGGGCGCTAGACGCATCGCAACTCTGCTTCACTCTAAACTAGATCACATTCAAGTCATTGGTGCTGCGCCGCCCCCGACGATCGAACTGTCACCAATCCTCCTCTGACACAATCATCCTCTTTTGAAGGAGGTAAACTTGGGCCCATCATGGATGTTGAAGCGCTCGACAAAACAAACCAACAGACCAATAATTGAACCTTAAGACCGAATAACTTTTTGCCTTCCGCAAAATAAATGTTTCGAATATTTGCCTAATTCTTTTGACATTTTTGTTTTAAGGACTTAATTGGCTGCCCAGTCAAATTGAGGGCCTTTAGAGGACTGAAACAGTCTTAAGAACTGAATAGATTGGTCATGAAGACTCCATATATACTAGTTGTTGGATAGGGGGTCTTAGGCAGACCAAAGGCACGAATAACTGGTTACTGGGAATCGGTTAAAAATCATCCCAGTAAGTGTAACAGGCTTAGCTGTTTCCAAAATCCGATACTTGCATATCACATCATTTGAGGAGCTGGTGTAATTCATTTTATAGTTAAAATATGAAAGTGATTAGTATCAGACAGCCAATTACTATTTTCAACCTCCCGTAGCAATGTATGCGGAGTCTCCTTCAGACCACTCCAAATGAACAGGTCGATAAGTTTTCGGCCGTGCGACAGAAACCCAGACTATGCCAGTTCAGTATTTTAGTTTAAACCTTGATCGATTTTCAGAACTTTTTAGTTAAATGTTAACCAAACAGCACTTCATCGGCTTTTGTTATAAGACGATTCAAATATTTTGTTTGCCAGCGATCTTTTCTTTATCTTCCATCTAATGGATACTTTCATTAGTGCCAAGTGGTTTTTGGTCGTCATTTAACGTATTTGTAGCCCATTTCAGTAGGACTGGTGAATAAAATCTCAACTTCTCTTGAAGCAAGACGACACTGATACATTGAAAACAAACGACTCAGCCCTAGCTGAAGGCCAGTTGCAGTTGATGTACAGTCCTTGGAATACGATAGAAAAGCAAAACTAAGCATATATAATTTAAAAAAGTGTTACTTGACCGTCGGTTAAGCAACAGCCAAGCTGAACAGGCAGAAAAAGTATATAATTAATGCAAAAACTTGTCACAGTAATTTTAGCCACCTCTGCGCAGCAAAATTAGATTTGAAACTAGTTTTCTACTCTCGGACGGTGGAAAATAAGATGCTCTCGTGTAGAGATTTGATAGAATCGATGTAAAATTAATTGATTTTACCGTCTTGAAGTTTTCTACAGTCCTTTTACATTAAAGCCATGTTTACGTCAGATGTTTCCGTTCCCAAGCATGACGTTTGTTTCCGCCTTATGAGGGCTATTGACCAGACTCTGCGTATAATTATTTTTATTTTGACCAACATCAAAAGTCTCAGGGATTTCTCCTGGATTGTTAAACTACATTGAATTATTTAGCTGTAGGATTGAAAAGAATATGCTTTTGTTCCCCCAATATTTTGAGGAGGGAAGTCGGTTTTGACTTGCCTGCGCTTCCGGCATATGTTTAATCTGCCTTGAGTTTATTTGATGATCAGAGTACTGGGAAGTTCATTCTTTGTTTGATGTATTCAAGTCATCAGGACAGCGTCTTATGGTTTATCAAAAATGTTTTTTTTTACAAATAAGAGCGACGCCTACTTACAAAGGTATCTTAAGTATTTTTGGTACATATTCCCCAACTCCACTCGATGAGAGATTTACAAACATTATGTAAAAACAAATAGTTACATTGAATTCTTTATATTTCATTCGGCATCATTGGAAACTGCTAACGAAATTATTGTTTAGCCTTAATGAGACTTTTAGGGAAGAAATAAGTTCTGAGTACATTTTATGTTTTGCATAATCATAGCGGTGCATGTTCTAAGTATCTGACTACCGAGAAGTTACTAGTGTTAGTGAGTTTCGAGAAGCTGAGGTAACAGATATTTTTATATATTCCACGTATATTGCGCATCTGGCAGTGCGCAACAGAGACACATCACAAAAAACTCAGGTCTAAATGTAGGTTTAATCCGTGCAAGACATCCGACAACCGCCTTTATGAAGCTAAAATCGTGCAGCTTTTTTTCCCCCGACAGTGATGTATGACAACGATGAAATACTATTAGTCTCCAATGAAAGTGGCTCCTCTAAAATACTTTAACCGCACTGTATATTTCAAAATTTCCATATTCTATGGTTCATGTGCAGCCTTTTTTTACTATCCTTCAAATATATGAAATGCAAAACCATTTACGTCATTACCAAAGGCTACTGACCATTTAAGTGCGTGGTAGATTTAGCTAACACTGACGGCATTTTCACTTTTTAACAAGGCTGAAAATGTTGTAAAACTATGTGAAGCCCATAAGTGTTTCGTAAATCTTCGTTGTTTTCTCTGAAAAATATCCTTCTAAGAACATGAATTTATGCCATAACATTTTTTCGATTGAATACCAAATTGAACTGTCACGCAAGCCTACCTCGTCTGCTGTACCGTTTGAAATAGTTGCTTTGCCTTCCGTTGTGCATAATAACAGAAGAGGCCGTCTTTTTGAAAGGGTGTAAGAATGTTATCCGAAACCGAGCTGGTTTGGAATGACCAAAGTAAGTAAAAATCCACTTAAATGGCGCAAAACGAAAGCGATGTTAGTGTCGGGAGTAGCGTAAACGCTCGAAACCGGATTCCCAACAATGCGACAGTGCGCCTATGACATCTGGTGCCTGACGAGAGTGGGGAATGGGGCGAATGCATCTGCCTCTACAGCCGACGCATCATATCCCTTGGACAGGCGGGGTGGAACATACCAACAGCAGCAACAGCGCAGAAGCATTGATCGAGCAAGACATCCAACCGAGGGTGCGCAACACACCTGCATGACTTGCCAACAGGCTATGGCGCCAATCAAGGTGCAAGCCAGAAGAGGCATACAGGCATGCTTTTCGGCCAGGCGTCTCCCCCCTGACCGACTGCCGTTACTGATTACACGAGTGCTGCAAAGTTTGCCTGATGACGCATAATTTCACTCGCTGTTAGTAGCAGACCTATGGCGGAGACTGACGAGGGGATTTATGACTGCATGAGTGCAAGTAAACTCAATGACTACCTCTTATTTTTACTGTTACCCGAGAATCGAGTTATTGTAGACATCAACTCAATTTAACCCCGGCAATAAAAGGGGTTCAGTGACTAAACTCGTCTCCTTTGAATGAATGTCAACCAGTCTTACATAGTATGACTAGGGACGACCTTTCAAACCACACAAACGCTAACGACACCTGTACTCGATCGCCGTATGGGCATTGATCTTTATACGATTATCACTAACGGTAGTCTCTAGTAGAATCAAGGTTTTAGTTTCAAGACAGCAGGCCGAGAGTGAATGCTAGTTCTCTAGGACAGACATATTCCCTGTCCAACGCTTTAATCCATTGCATCGAAGTTAACCGTCCAGTCACGTGGTGAAACAAAACGACTATTTACGGCTATTGGAACCTGAACAATTGTTCTTGAAATCCGCGCATGGTTATAGAAAAAACGATTTGGGTAAGCCGACCAGATGTTGCCCGACAGACAGTAATATGGGTTGAAAAATCTAGACTGGATCCTTTTTCTATATTTCAGAACAGATTCCGGAATATCGAGACCAGTAAATTCACAGAAGATAGCATCCCAAACTGAGAGTTCGAGAACGGAACAAAGTCGTTTTCAAACAACAGTTCAGCCAAAGACACATCTAACGGTTTTTTAAAAAATTGTCCTTAAGTGTTCTCTCATGCATGTTCCGACATATCACGTCATTTTTAATCTCCTCGGAAAGTAATGCGCTAACTTAGAGTAAATTATTCAGGACCCTCGCATCTGTGTCATGCAGTGACAAAAATTTGATAAACACGTCTGTGCTTTTAGCTAGTGCCTATGCTCTCACTATGGTGAATCATTCAACATTCGTATACTGCTGAAGACTTGTTTATAACTTATGAATGTTTCGCGATTATCTGGCAGATGCTTTTATACTTCCGCTAAAATATTCACATCAGACTTTCGACCGAAACTGAAATATTTCGTACCGACACACTGATTTTCGACGAGATTGGAGGGGTAAGATTTCAAGACTAAAGTGTGTATCTGAAAGTACATCTGAATTCTGGGGGGCGCATTGATCGGCCGAACTCCTTGCAGCTATGTCATGTCGTGACAGAATGTCTATGAAACACGTGCCTAGACTTCTAGCTGGTAGCTGTGCTGTCAGTATCGTAAATCATGCAGCATATCTCCGTATTAAATTAAGGAGGTGCTGTGAATTCTGAGATGATATAATAAAAGGAGAAGGCCAGTCTGAAAATAGATTTTACTCGTGAATTTTCAACATGGTTACGCCAGCCCGTCGTTGGACGTAATAAATACTGGGGAGCGGGATAAACGTATTAGGGGACTTGGGGACGGAGGGGTCACATTGACAGACAGGCGTCGTACGAGGGGGTAGGAAGCGCACTAAGACGCTGGAAGTTAAGGAAAGGTGTTATACGTTCCAGTTATGGTTTACCATATCGGAGAAATGTCGAACCAGAGAGATTCTGTATGGCTGAGCATGTATTAGCAGCTGTTGTTCTATTGTGGGCGCAAGTCAGTGAGCCATGGACGCAGGCCTTCGTAGCAAGCGTTCATATCGATGTGACGGTTGGTGTTGGCCGCATTGAAGTACCATGCATCAGGGAACTCTCCCGAGTGTTTAGTGTTAGCCATGGCGACCACTTTAGACCGTCGTAATTGAAGCGGTAATCACATTCAAGGGCCTACGCAAACACGAGACAGGGGGTCCTGTCGAAAGATGGCCAGCTTATTTTCATTAGTGCGAGTCCCAAGTCGTTGGCCGGTATAGTCAAGATAAACGCAAGAACAGTTAACACACGGAATGCGGTAAATGATATTTGTTTGCTGTTCCTTGAGTGTGAGGTTTTCTACTCGGGATAATTCTGTGCACAGGGAGGATGCCGACTTATGGACGATGGGGATGCCAAACCGACTTTATAGCCCGCCAATCGCATTGGAAATTCCTTGCATGTGGCTCAAGGAATAGAATTCTTGCCGCACCATTTTTTCCACGAGAACTCTAGCCTTATGGTTCCCTCCGTCACCCAAAGCAGCTCTTCACGAACCTTATCAAATATTCACTGGAAAATAATGGATGATGTTAATAAGATAGTTCTCTTTAATGTAGATATTCAGTGTTACAGTAGCAAAAGCCTCGAGAAAAAGTTCGGACACAGCTTCCTTTTTGTACCGCAGGATGGTTGCTTCCATAGTTGAAGACGATCAAGGCACTAGAGTCTTTTCAGTGGACGCTGGTTGCGAGGTCGTTATCACTCAGTCCTTGGACACTTGTGTCGAGAAACGGGGACGTCTCCTGTTGCTTCTTTGCAAACAAATGGTATGGCTTCAAAGAAACCATTAAGAATCGGGCACAGTGTTTAACTTCGAAGTTTATTATGACAGCGACGGTATCATCTACGTAGTGGAGTCGCGTTTTGGTCTGACAATATGAACAACAGCCTCTGATAGTAGTTTTAAGACAACGTCGGCGAGTACCTCTGAGGCCAGTAAGTCTATTCAGTTGTCCTTGACCTGTTGGTAATAGTTATCATTGAATCGATAATAGTTCCTAAGGCAGAGACCAAGCATGTGTAAAACGTACTGCGTTGGAATATCAGTAGGAGTTCTCTCTGAGCGAGGAGCTACGCGCTTAATTGCCAAGCAATGTGGCATAGAGGAAAACAGGACAGTCACATCAAACGATAAGATTCATTCATCAGTGTCTATCTTTAGGCTCTGGACCCCTCGAAGGGAATCGTGAGAGTCCTTGACACTGTATTGCGATCCATCAATGGCGTGTTAGTATGACCATGTTTAAGGTTCGTAAGCGTCTGTCTTGTCATTATTCAGCAAACCGAGGCTTTCGCAGCCTGCTGTGCGCTGACAACCCTCTGGCACCTGGTTCCCTGCCGGCAGATGCGTTTGCGCTCCCGCTGGGTATACGGCTTGTGAACATGGCTGCCCAATCGTCCTCGTCTTTCCGGCCTGTTGTTGTGTTGTTGGTGGTTAAAATCCTGGTCAAGTGTTTGTTGTGGACCAGGGAGTACGGTGGTACGTCTTAATGTGGGTCCCGCCGCACCAGCCACCTGCGCCTTCACCCACCTCCGGTCTTCTTGACTATGTCTTGACACCGGGCCCAGGTGGATAGGAGGAAAGAGTGCGGTAGATGTTGTGTAAGTCTACTACCACTATAAACCAATCCATGCACAAGTCACCGTGCATGCTCCCAGCCTGCTATGTAACACAAGGTGGACATCGTCGGACACGGCGGTCGAACTGTCAGCATGATCATGTGACACGGTTGTAAGCCGGTGGCCCAATGATGCATTTGTTTCGAGCATTACTGGAAGGCAATAAGCATGTGAAACGCGGGGGTCACAGACAGTCAGGAAGTTGGAGTCCTCGAGACTTACGAGTTTTTGTCGATTGAGCTCATTCACCCACTTCTTTACATGTGCGACCTGTTTTTGATTTGGTATTCAGGGAACGGGGCGTAGATTTCTCCGTCGATAAAGGCTTGGTTGGCCTTGTCGTCGTAGTCAGTCTTGTCCATAATGACGGTTACGCCACATTTGCCAGCAGAAACAACAACTCTACTGTCTCACGACTTCAGGGATCATAATCCTTTCTTCTCTTCGATCGGCAAGGTTTTCTGATGTTTTCTTTGCCAAAGGAGTGCTGTTGCACGGATGTGTGTGTTCGCACGCATGTTTTTAAGGAGAGCGGAGACCGTAATGTGGAATTCAAGACTGGCTACGAAGTCCATAAGTTCAACGCCAGCCTGACTGAACCTTATTTTTTAGACGGGACGCCTATTTCGGCTGGTGTGAGACTCCTTTTCGAAAAATTGACAACTCCCCTAAGCATGCTGCTGTTGTTGGTAGGCCAGGGAAGAGATTCTAGTTTCTCCTGGGCACTGACTCGGTCTTCATTCGAGCATTCTCGGTGGTGGCATTCATGCGCTCCAGGATACCCTCGAATATGTCTTCAGGTAGGGGTAAAGTGCACCGGCTCATGGTGTTAGAAATATGTGTATGAATTGGACGGCAGGCATCCCAAGACATATAATATAAAGGCCAACACGTGCCAAAACAAAAATATCCTACCAATATCTTTGCGTGTAAAGCCTGCCGTAAAATCTCCCCTAGGATATCGAATAGCGTCTCGGTACGGACAAAGCATGCTTGGTGAGTTCATAAGTGATGCCCACAGCCGACTTCGACAATTGCAAATATCTAGGGAAAAGCATGTGGAATTTTGCCGTGGTAACCTTCCTCCGCACTTAGCCGAATCCGTAAACAAAACGACCATCTACGTATCAGAACTTGAACGAGAAAAGATGATGAGAATGTTGTACAAAAAATGAATGATTATTTCTCAGCCAGTCTATACAAATTAGAAGTTTCGGCAAAGGTCGTGAATCTGTCCTTGAGAGTCC